ACCTTTACCTAACACCATTGCACAAAAGTCAGATCAAAATGGATTAATGACCTCAACATCAGACCAGAATCCATGAGGTGCATTGAAGAAAAGGTTGGCAAAACCCTGAACAACACTGAAACCAAATCTTCAAAGATGAAATGCCACTGACCAAGCAAGTGTAAATTTAGATAAACAAATGGGACTACCTTAAACTAAGAAACTTCTCACCTCAAGACAGTGACCAGAATACAAAGACAGCCTACAGAATGGGAAAGGATATTCACCCAATACCCTTCTGATAAGGGGTTAATATCAAGAATATACAAAGCACTGGTTGAATTCTACAAGAAGAAAACATCCAATACCATCAGAAAATGGGGAGATGAAATGAACAGAAACTTTCTCAAAGAAGAAATCCGAATGGCCAAAAGGCACACGAATAAATGCTCTTCATCACTAATCAATCATCAGGAAGATGCAGATCAAAACAACAACGAGAAATTATCTCATACCACAGAGACTGGTACACATTCAAAAGAACAAAAGCAACTGGTGCTGGCATGGATGTGGGGAGAAGGGGACTCTCCTTCACTGCTGATGGGAATGCCAACTGGTTCAGACATTTTGGAAAAATATATGGACGTTTCTCAAAAAACTAGAAATTGAGTTCTTATTTCACCCAGCAATACTACTTCTGGGAATATATATTGGAGATTCAAAAAAATACAGTATAAATGACACCTGCACTAGTACGTTTATTGCAGCACTATTTACAATAGCCAGAATCTGGAAACAACCAGAGTGCCCGTGAACAGATGACTGGTTAAAGAAACTTTGGTACATCTATACAGTGGAATACTATGTGGCAGTCAGAATAGATGAAATCATGAAATTTGCATTTAGTGAATCAACATGGAGAATAAATGAAATGAGTCAGAGAGAGAGGGACAGACATAGAATGACTGCACTCATTTGTGGAATATAAAGTAACAGAGTGAGAGACTAACACCCAAGGAGAATAGACATAAGGGCCAGGAGGATCGCTCAACAGCTTGGAAGACAAGAGAGAATGAAATCAACTCTACAACACCCGGCAAGCTACCGAGAGTATTCGATATGCCAGACACAGTAACAACAAAGTCTCCAATGGAGACGTTACTGGGCCCGCTCGAGCAAATCGACGATCAACGGGAGGGCCTTTACCTTTTTACCTTTACCTACAACATGAATCTTATTTCCACCCAAACCTTTTCACTATGCTGCATCTTGTGCTGGCTAGCTGGACCTCCAGCTCTGACGTGTATTTGCCCCACTAGATGGCAAACTTTATGAAAGCAAATTTCTGTCCTTCTTTAGCTGTGCCTTCATGCAAAAAACTCTGACTGAATTATAATGAGTTGAGGTGGCTTCTGGACCACAAGAGGAGGATACAGAAATTAGAGAAACACAGAAAGAAAGGCAACATTCTCAGTGACATGGAAAAATGGGAAAAAAGATTTTGAAGGGAATAATAGTGGAATATCGTTGAGATGCAGTATGCTGTCTCGAAACTCGGGAGCAAAGAGGAGGAGAACAAGGACCCCTAACATTAATTGCCACTGTACTCCATGAGGGGCACTGCTGAAAACATTTAACATTCAGCATCCAATTTTAATAGGATACAGAGTATATTCAGGAAGGATTTCTACCCCAAATGTTTTCAAATGGTGGGGCTTAAAAGGATGGAACTGGAGATTAACATGTTAAGTGAGATTAGTCATAGGGAGACAGACAAATAATGAATGATCTCAATCAACTGTAAAATATGGAGAGAAAACAAGAAACTAGATAATACGGAACAATGACCAACTCTTGGTCCTGGATTACAAAACTGATTTTCAAGCACTGAAAAGACGGGAAGGGGAATGAAAATCAAACCAGAGATGACCTCAGGACAATGGTGGAGGATCTGCAGTACCTTCGGGTATCAATATCATAAGCTCTAACACTACTGTAATTTTGGTGTCTAAATTGTAACAAAAACCTTTTTAGAAGAAGATAAAAATCTTAGTTTTCTGGGAAATATTCTCTATTGTAAATCACTCATTCTCGCAAATTTTTAAGGAGAATTTTATGATCCAATTTACCAATAGAGCCTCAGAGAATGTAGAAGCTGAAATTTTCAGAACTCACATAAATGAGCTAAAAAGTCCGGGTGTCAGAAGAAGAAAGAGAGAACAAGGGGGAATGCCCTGCCACAGAGGCAGGGTGGGATGGGGGAGATGGGGGGTGGGGGGGATGCTGGGACCCGTGGTGGTGGAGGATGGGCACTGGTGGAGGGATGGGTACTTGATCATTGTATAACCAAAACCCAAGCACAAAAATTTATAAGTCTATAACTGTACCTCATGGTGTTTCACTAATAAAAATTTTTTTTAAAAAAGTCCGGGTGTCATTTGCATTGTTTGAATCTAAGAATCAAGCCCGAGTGTCACTGAACTGTTCTTCTGGGAACCTGATAAAATGTAGGTGCATCTGAAGTGGTAAAATGAGGCAAGCCCATGTGTGTGTGTGAGCGAGTATGTGTTTATGTGTGTGTATGTGTGTGTGTGTGTGGCTTTTGTGTGTATGTGTGTGTGTGTATGTGTGTGTTTTATACGCTGGTGATATGCCCAACCAGATAGATCATTCTGTACTTAGGAAGAGCCCCTGACCTCCAGTTTATGCATGTGTGGTAGGGGAAGGCCTTCAGAGCAATGACCAGAGGCTTAGGTACTCTTGCGGTGAGACTTGGCACCAATAGGACCAATTCAATGTTCAGGCCTAATGGTGCTAGGGTCACCAGGGCCAGTGGTGCGAAAGGGCCTTGGGGGCAACTTTGGGCAGTGCTTGGAGTGGGCAGCACCTGGTGCTAAGTCCTGATATTGGGGCCTTGAGATCTAGTTTGATGAGCTGTTGCCCTAGCCCCGACCTCCGTTAGATGATCACAATTTCCAGTCTCATGCAGTCAGTGCATGGGTTTTCCTTTTTGAGAAATGAGTTACTGCTGGATACCAGGTCTCTAATACTTGAAACTCTGGAAAAGAGCTGTCCATTTCCCTACCATTTCTGGCCAGCAAAAATATCCACAAGAAATGTGGAACATTGCCGTAAACCTCAGGAGAATTTTCTCTAAAGAATAATACTAGGCTGAAAAATACTTGTAACCTCCCATCCTTACCTTTCTTATTTTTTCAGTGGTAGAACTTGTCATAGATTCTGTATAACAGAACTACGGGGACAGAAACTGGTGTGGAGCACAGGAAGCACAGCCTCATGGGTGGGAGCGCCTGGCAGTGAGACAGACAGCAGTACAGTCCTGCATCTACACGTGAGAGGAAATCCCAACACCCTTGAAAACGAGCCAGTGTCCTGTTTTAAGCTGGGGCAACTGCAACAAAAGGCCCCATGTAGGGTTAGGTTACCCTAATGTCGTTTATAGGAACTGTCGTGGAACAAGCTTATCTTTATTGAGGCCTGTCCAGTCACGACTCTATGAACTACTATGGTCACATTTTATAGATGGGAAGTGCAGAAAGACCTGGAACTTGGCGAGGATGATAAAGCCAGCAGGTCACTGCCAGGCTTCTAGTGTTGGGGTCTGACTGTCTAGCCCCTGGATTACCCTATTACTTATAAGAGCGTTCATTTCTAATTAGGTTCTTTAATTGCTCTGCTTCCCATAAAACATTAGTTCAGAAAATGTTTAATCAGCCTACGCCAAAGAAAAACTAACTCCTTCTAGCCTTGTGGAGGCCCAGACTTGGCTGTGACCTTCCACTGCCCTGATTTCTCTTCATTAAGTTGGTCCCTTTTTTATCCACTTATGCCTATGACTGAAGAGAAAATCCAATTAGGTGATCGCTCAGCTCATGAGCACTCTGAGTGCTTTCAGAATTAAGTCCCAGCAAGGATCTTTATCTTCTAACTGCCACCTTTGTCCTCTCTTCTCATCTCTGGCCACTTCTCCATTTGCATTTCATACCCCCACATGCTAAATTACCAGGAGCTCCTGCGGACACGAGGCTGCTCTTCTCTCCCGTGTGTCAGCACAGGCGTTTTATCTTAGCTAGGTGTCCTCTCCCTTGGCCTGCTTCTCTGGCAGCACCTGATTATCATGAAGATACTGGCTTTGGTTTCATCTTCTAAGAGGTCTTTCCCTACATCATTCTCTCCCTTCCAGGCAAGTCTACGTCGTTGACCTCTCTCAGCTTCATATTCCAGAAGCATTTTTGTTACTGTACTAGAGGGACTGCTGTCTACTGGTCCCTCCTGCCAGAAAATAGCGGTGGCTGCAGGCAGAAAGATTAGTCGACCTAAACCAAGTGCTAGCACTGGTCCGACACAATGATTAGCATGGCATGTTGTCAGGTTGATCCTTCTAAAATTGTATTTTTGCAGCATCACATGTTCTTTAATTTCCCCCAAATGCATAATACGAAACTTAACATCTCATTAAATCCCACTGACCTGACTCTATGTGCATACCCACTGGCTGACCACTCAGAGTGATTCCAGTCTGCGATATACCTAGCAGGGTTCACATTGCTGTCCCTGAGTCTTTATCAGGTTCTAACACATTTTAGAGGACATTTCACCTTCATGGTTGGGGGTTTGTGAAAGGAAAGTTCTGTTTTCTTAACTTTTTTAAACTTTTCCTGTCTGGAAAACTGCACATAAATTACTAGCCCCAGATTTTCTGACAATGCTGCTTGGACGGCACTCAAAAGGAGTGTGTGGAGATGATGATGCAGGAAAAGCAAATCTACAAAAACCGTAAGAAGCACACCAGGGCACGTAAGAGAAGATACCTTTCAAGGTTAGAACCATTTCTTCAATAGCGTCAAATTAAAGGAAATAAAAGCAGTTTTATTCTAGTAGGCAGAGAGCTTGGTCAACACAATCTGTTCTTCATGTATTATGTTATTATACCAGTTAGTTTACATTTTTTTAAGAAATATAGTTTTGAAAGCTCTTACTCCCACTGTTTACAAACTTACCTCTAAAAGCACTAATATCTCCATAGTGGACCTGGAGCACGAAATATTTACTTCCAGTTGCTCCTCCAACTCTAAAGCCAACACCTGAAAGATTTACAAAGGAAGCCTTTACTGATGGATGTCTAACCCAGAACTCATATCAGACTCCGCTCTAGGAAATTCAAAGTGACATAAAGGTGCATGCAATACATAAAACCACTTTCTATGGGTTTGAAAATCAAGTAGGCACTTACCGAAAATTTGCGGTAACCTCCTATCATTCCTTCTCATATCTTTGGATATAAGTTTTTCCCAGCTCAGAATAGAAGAATTTTAGGGAGTATTTCACTCATTTTGAAAGAAACAGGACAAAACTGTTCTGTTCTTATTGATTAGGTAACTGATGTACATAAGCCCATTCACTCATTTTGTTACGTGTATATCGTATTGATTTTTATTATTCTAACTGAATATAATAAATAGATTTTTAGATGCATATCAGAATTATCTTGCCACATAAAAATAGCTACAAAATTTTATGGGAGTGGAGAGAATGTACAGTGGGTAGGGTGCTTGCTTTTCATGTACCTGACCCAGGTTGGATCTCTGACACTTCATATGACCTCTTGAGTGCCACCAGGAATGAACCCTAAGCTCAAAGCCAGGAGTAAGCCCATAACACTGCTGGAAGAAACCCATAAACAAACAAATGCCACACTGAATATCAGTTACCAACCAGATTCAGTGTGTTGATAAATTTTTGGAATTTGAAGGGCTCCTTAAAGTCTTAATATTAGTAGAGTTTACTAGTAAGCAAAATGCATCCTATGGACACTGAGAAAATATTAGAGGTGGGAAAATCTTTTCTATCGCTCTATTAATGGTTCTTCAAAATGCCAACAAATCAGCCAATTTTTCTTGGGAGTAATCACCTGGTAATCCATAAAAGGGATTCTGGGACTGATTTGAAACATTTGAAGTAATTTAAATATAATTTCGTGCTGGTATGAATCAGGGAGGTGAGAGGAGAGGTTTGTGGGTGACAAGACAATGTGTGGAACAACGGCCAACAATTCTGTGTTTTATTGCTGGGTTGCACATTCCCTTCATGAAGGAGAAAAGTACACGTGGTTAGAGACAGCCAATTCCCGCACAAACAGTGTTGAAGTGAATAAAGTCAGAAAGTCAACTGGGGTTTGGCATTATGTCTGACACCTATACAGCAGCAGTCCGAACAAAAAGATGTTTGTTCAAGGAGCAATTTGTTGAATTCCTACCTCCTTGACTCATGAAATGTTGGTGCTATCAAGAACCAGTGTACCTTGGGGCTGGAGCAATAGCACAGTAGGTAGGGCATTTGCCTTGCATGCAGCCAACCCGGGTTCGAATCCCAGCAGACTGTATGGTCCCCTGAACACCGCCAGGAGTAATTCCTGAGTGCAGAGCCAGGAGTAACCCCTGTGCATTGCTGGGTGTGACCAAAAAAAAAAAGAACCTTAAGTACCTTAAGCTCAAGAGCACATGAGGTGCTCTATAGTTTTGTTATCTAAACTCTCGTTTGTATCAATTACTTGCTAAAGAGTGACTGATGACTGATTAAGCTGCAGTAAAAATTAGGTAATGCCACATCTTTCTTTCTTTTTGCAAAGGTTTGGGACCACTCCTGGTGATGCTCAGGGCTTAGTTCTGGACTTCTGTTCAGATATCACTCCTGGCAGTGCACAGAGTTCCACATGCAGTGCTGGAGATTGAACGGGAGTTGTCATGCATGGGGAGTTTCCTAGTCCGCTGTCCTAGTTCTCTGAACGTAATAGAGATCTCCATTCATATGAAATGATTTTGCAAAATATCATAAGGAATTGTTGGAAAGGATTATAATGAAAGTTACTGCAATTCAAAAATGAAGTCGTTCAATATGACCCAATTTTAGGGGCCTTAGAAATACCTTTTGGGAGTCTGGTAGGAGGAGCATTTCTTGCCCAGGCATAGAGAATATTGGCTTTATCTGCACAGGTTCCTTCATCACAAAACCTGAAGAGGAAAAAAAAAGCATGATAAATAAAGATTCATGTATGAAACACCCAGATCACTTTAGGTGAGGGAAGGCAAAGGTGATCAACACATCATCATTGTGGTCATATCCCCTTTAAAACCCAGATGCAGACTAGAGCAGAGTCATTTCTATGTGATAAAAAAGTAACTATCAAGGGAGATTTGTTTGCTGCCTGTAAAACAGTCCTGTGAAGTACATACATGACTTATTAACTGAGATATTTAAATGCAGAATATCAGATAGGAAAGTAAGCATGAATAGAAAGTGCATTTGCATGGAAGGGCCTCAGGGGAATCTGCAAATAGACTAGAAGAAATGGCATCTACATATCCCCTTTGGGAAGTGTTGTCCAAAATCTTTGGCCACAGCAAAGAAGAGTCTGCAGTGCCTAGACTCAGGGGGGTGCACTTAATAACCACATCTCACGAAAGGGGCTTTTGTGGGGTTATGTACATGAATACTAGTCAAGCTACTTAGAAGTCGTTTCTTATTGTACAAGTTAATCTTACTCAGTCTGTTTCCTCTCTTATAAAACAAGGAGAGTTATACTTACTCCACAGAGTTTTTCCTGTAAAGGAAATGAAATATAAGTGAAAGCCCTTCAAAAAATCTAAAGCATGAAATCAGGCTGAGTCATTAGTTAACAACAACATTTACTTGATAAAAAAAATGCACTGTTGAGCAGAGGAGTAAGTGGTAAAAGGTACAGAGGCAGAGAGAATACCAAAACCATCCCTTCAAAACTGGGTCTTGAAGCACATGTATAAGGCCTTAAATCCCAATTCTTAGACAGAAATCTACCTGAGAGGGGTGAGAAGTGTGTGTGTGTGGGGGGGGTGCTGATGGTGACATTTGCAAGTTACCTATGACAATAACCAGATCACTAGACTACTAATATCTACACTGTAAATTTGATTTCATAGATTTTAAAGATATGCTTCCAAAGCACATTTTTCCATGAGCTTATGTCTTGATTTGTTTTTTTTTATCAAACTAGATTTGTTCAAAACATTAGTAGATGGTATTTTTAAAAAACTGTGTTTATTATTATGCTTTACAATCAAAGAGATATATACAATCTTACTTGTTTTTATTTGGGGGTCACACCCTCTGTGCTCAGGGCTTACTCTCAGCAGTTCTTGGTGAAAGAGGGTTCCTATGTGGCATGAGTTGTTATCCTCATGAGCAAAATCAGGGTTAGTGGTATACAAGACAAGCACCTAATTTCATGTATACTATATCTCTGTCCCCTAAATGACATTTTTATGTAGATTTACATATATTTATGTTTTGGGAAACTGGCACCAGACAAGATCAGGTGCTGAATCAGATTTGAAATGTCTGAAGATTATCAAGGACAAAGCAAATGCAATTTCTTCGGCATGAGGTTATTCCCACTGGGGAAAAGTCTACAGCCCATGGCAAAGAAGGGGGTTGAAGGCTTATCCTTAAATCTTCCTTAAATAAGGGTAGAAAGAGAAGCTAGAAACCCTGACAACAGAAGATTGCAGAAGCCCAGCAGTAAGAAGCACTTTCCTCCTTGCTGGAAACAACTCTTCACACTTTCCCTGCTTAAAGCCAGGAATGGGGTAGGAAAAAGTACTACATACAACCTCATGAGCAAAGGAAGGAGGTACTGGGAAGTAGGATATACCTTGAAGATTATGTTCAGAAAAGCATTTGCCTCTGTCAGCTGCTGAAAGAAAACTAAGCAATGTGTAGTGTAAACTGAGCAAAGTAACTAGTGTTTTCCTGCTTGTTCACAGCCAGGAACAATATACTTATAAACAAAGGTCATTACTATGCAAGAATCATGTGTTAAAACAGAGGACGGAGTGATAGTAGAGTGGATAAGCTACTTGCTTGGCATGCAGCCAACCAGGTTTCAATCCCTGGCACCCCACTAGTCACCCAAGTCCCACCAGGAGTGATCCCTGATCACAGAGCCAGTAGTATGCCTGCAGCACAGCAAGATGTGGTTAAAAAACCCAATAAAACAAAACAAATATCTATAGGGGTTGGAGATACAATATAGTAGATAATGGGATTGCTAGCCTTGCACATAGCTGGTCAACCTGAGCTCAGTCCTCAGCACCACATACGATCACCCTTGCTCCACCAGGAGTAATTCCTGAGCACAGAGCCAGGAGTAAGCCCCGAGGATTGCCAAGTCTGGCCACCACCAAAACTAAATGTCTGTGATTTCCTTGTGGAAAATATGCTAAAAGGTTTAGCATATTAGATGATGTCTCAGAGGAAATATTCCCTCCTTGGCCTCATGCAATCACAGTTTAAAGAAATTCTTATAAGTGGATAGACACGGAGAGGATCATGCTAGTGAAGTCAGAAAGAGAGGCGCGGACATAGAAGGACTGCACTTATTTGTGGAGTGTAGAATAATACATGAGGCTGACACCCAAGGACAGTAGATACAAGGGTCAGGAGGATTGCCCCATAGCTGGAAGCCTGACTCATGAGCTGAGGGGAAAAGGCAGGTGGAATAGAGAAGGAATCACTAAGAAAATGATGGCTGGAGGAATCAGTCTGGATAGGAGATGTGTGCTGAAAGTAGATAATGGATCAAACACAATGACCTCTCAGTGTCTGTATTGCTAACCATAATGCCCAAAAGTAGAGAGAGAGTATGGGGAATATTGTCTGCCATTAGATGCATGGAGAGGGTGGGGAAGGGGGTGTATACTGAGGAGATTGGTGATGGGGAATGTGCAATGGTGGAGGGATGGGTGTTTGATCATTGTGTGATTGTAATCCAAGAATGAAAGCTTGTAACTATCTCACAGTGATTCAATAACATTTAAAAAAAAGGAAAAAAATGCAACATTTAGACAGGATAGACATTGCATCTCACTATTCCAAGGTACTAAAATGTAAAGATCTCGGTGACAACTTTCATAGATTTAAACAAATATCATAAATATACAATTGCTTAACAGCAGTTTAATTAAGACTATAGTCTTAATTTAAACAAGATAACTATTTCTACCAGTATAGCACTGTCCTGTAGCACTATCCTGTTGTTTATCGATTTGCTCGAGCGGGCACCAGTAAAGTCTCACAACAAATTGTGAGACTTGTTGTTACTGTTTTTGGCATATCATATATGTCACAGGTAGCCTGCGAGGCTTTGCCATACAGGCGAGATACTCTTAGCAGCTTGCCGGGCTCTCCAAGAGGGCAGAGGAATCAAACCCAGGTTGGCTGCGTGCAAGGCAAGCACCTACCCACTGTGCTATCGCTCTAGCCCATTTCTACTAATATAGAAAAAATAATAGAACGTACAATTAGAAGGTACCAGAATGAACTATGACAGGAAAAAATAGTTCAACGAGATTTATTAAGCTACATATTTGATGATCTCGTTTGCTGTTAGAAAATATCTCACATTTCCCCTCAAAATATCATCAAAACAAAATCCAAGCATTGTAGCATAACACATATATCTTTCATGATCTGGTATGTTTTCATACCTCCAGAAAAAGCCTTTAAGTAATGCTCCATTGGGGCCAGTTTCTACTCCTTTTAATCTCCATTATTCCCTTTATTAGGAAATACCTTTCCCCAACTTTCTGCTTGACAGACTTTATCTTCTTCAAGATTTCAATCTATTATTCCTTCATGGAGAAGTTTCTCTTTCTCTTTCTCTCTCTCATATATATGTATATATACACATACATGTATGTTATATATTTATATGACGGTAGCACTGTAGCACTCTCCTCCTGTTGTTCACTGATTTTCTCAAGTGGGCACCAGTAACATCTCCATTGTGAGACTTGTTGTTACTTTTCTTTTTTTTTGGCATATCGAATACATCACGGGTAGCTTGTCAGGCTTTGCCGTGTGGGCAGAATACTCTCTAGCTTGCTGGGCTCTCCGAGAGGGGTGGAGAAATCAAACCCAGGTTGGCCACATGCAAGGCAAACGCCATACACGCTATGCTATTGGTCCGGCCCATATATTTATATGTCATTGTCACTGTCCTCCCGTTGTTCATTGATTTGCTCGAGCGGGCCCAGTAACGTCTCCATTGGAGATTTGTTGGAACTGTGTTTGGCATATTTATATATCTCTATATATTCTCTCTATGTATTTATGTAGCTGTTTCAGAGTTCCGACCTCTGTCAATGATCAGAATCAGGGATGCTGTCTCGTTTGCCAAGCTGCTGAAAATCAGATGGGCCGGACACTTAATGCAATTTGGAGATGATCGCTGGACTAGGGCCATAACTGACCAGATTCCACAGGATGTAAAAATGCCTGGCTGTTCACCTACAAGATGGTTGGACTTCTTCATCAAGACCCTGAATGAATGTTTTGAGGCTCTGTCTGTTCCTGGAGAGAGCAGACACCATTGGGCTACACTAGCACGTAACAGGGACAGACGGACACGTTACTGGAGCCCGCTCGAGCAAATCAATGAGCAACAGGATGACAAGTGATACAAGTGATATATTTATGTAATTGCTCTTGACCCTTGTACCCAATTTACCCACCTCTGAACCCTAGTCCCTTCTAAAACCTTCTAATTTGGCTATACAGTATAAAAGATTATTTCTGTTTTACTTAGATCACTTGTTTGCTTCTTTATAAGTCACCAATGAGAGACTCCCTATACTTGTTTCCTCTCTTGAACCACAGCCCTCATCCCCCAAACTGGTTCATATCTTTGTCCTCCAACCACACTGTCAGTATTCTGGGATTTGGAGTCCTACCTTTCATCCTATGTTCCCAGTACCTACAACCCTGCCTGGAATTTACCAAACACAGAAGAAAGTATGATGAAGTTAATGGCTAAATAAGCTTTTCACTTATGTACAAACAATGCCATATATTTTCTCTCACAAGAATAAAGCAAACAGGTAATGCGTTCAACAAGTGAGTGAGCTCAGAGAGTTAAAGGACGTTTGAAGGCCACACAATTGAGACACAATTCAAAACTCTGGCTGGCTATTCTTGG